TCTTCTGTGCAGTGTTGTCTTTTTCGAGTTTGGGTTTTGTTTTTTTTTTTTTTTTTTTAATGAAATTGAGGGTCTAATGCTCTTCTCCATGATGGCATTGACTTTGCTGGGAGCTGGTCTGTCCATGCAACCTGATACTTTTCTGCCTTGCACTTTGAAAATGTTATGAGTCCCAGTGCAGCAAATAATTTAAGTGCGTGTTTATCTTTAAACCTATTAAATCTAACCCAGTCCTGCAGAACTCTTAAGACAATGTTAGGTGCTTTTCTGGATTTGGGCCTTACAGCTGTGCAGGGAATAAACCTTAGGACACGAGAATGGCAGCAATTCACACTTCTTTGACATAAAGTATAAATGATAATGCAGAACACAGTGGAGGCGGGTCCTTTTATTTTCCATCTATCAGTGCATAAGAAACCACCAGCCATCTCTAGCAAGAGGAAATGCAGCATTTGTAAACAATTTATAGAAGACTAGAGTGACTGCCTGAATTTTGATTCCTGATATTTTTTTAAAAGGTTTAATATATTGTTTACAATTAAGCAGTCCTATTTGAATAATTCTATTACATTTTATGTACGTTTTTAAAAGATGAAAGCGAAAGCTTAAGCTCATTCTTCACCTGGCTTTACTGACTTACCAAAATATTGTTTTGTTGATTGTTTTTTTGAGAATTTTTTAGCTGGTAGAATTCAATATATTGAGGTTTTGCTTTAAGTTATCTACAGATTTTTAATGTCTGCAGATATTTTAAAAGCTCTGTAGATCTTTGATATCTGTGCTCAGGTAATTTTACACAAAGGAAAAAAATCTAAGGTAAATTTTAGATATGAGCCTTAAACTTGGGTGGGACTAATGCTAAATGATTGTCATGGAGCATTCTTGCAGACTTAATGTTGAATGCTTTTTAGCCAGAAGTGATTACCATGTAAGTTGTCCGTTCATTATTCAGTTATTCTCTCCAGTTAATACCTTAAGTCTATTGTTTCACTTTTTTTTTTTTTTTTTATTATTAACAAAACATATCAACAGATTCTTCAAGGAGCCTGTTTGTGGATGGAAAATTTGCAATTTATTTTTCCACTGTTGCAAACTGGCAGATCGTATGCATGCACTGTTTACTCAGTGGCACTGGAAAGCCTGAATTTGCAGACCTAACAATCCTATGAATCCATATATGAATGCTCAATATTGTATATTCAGTGTGTTGTACTGTTTATGTAACATAATCAGTGTTTTAGGTCCGTTCTTTTATGTTCTAGTCAGTCCTTTCAGTGTTAACAGCATCCTGTAAAATTTAAATATATGTTGAATTGTCCCAGCCCCACCTCAACCTTATGAAGCCATATTGTATTTTTTTTGACATGTACATCTGTTTTATGCATTTGTACATGTGATGTAAATTTGAAGTATTTTTAACAATGTGTGCCTTTACTCTAAAGTGATTTAAAGTAAACAGCAGTATGTTCTATGATATAAAAAAATAAAATATTTTAACCACCATTTCTGTTGAAGGCATTTATTTTCCTTATTAATCAGTAATTTTATTGAGAACAAACACTGGTTAGCTAGATTAGTACATTATAATTTCACCATCTAACACGTTTTTCTGAACAAGAACATCAGTTGGAGTAAATACCTCCCACTGAGGGGCATCTGAATGTAATGTTGAAGTAGGGAAACTAGTTTCTCTACCTACCATATATTGTCCGTTAAGAGAGGGAAGGATGAGTTTCCCTGCCCTACTGAACATGCAGGGAGACCGACTTCTCAACCTGAGGACCTAAATTCAGAGGCCAGAGTTAGGCATGGCGAGTCGACCTTGTTTTTTGTTCTTGTTGCTTTTCTTTTAATGTCTCTTCAGTGCTGTCTTGCAAGGAGCTGATGGCCTTAGTCCCAGTCCAGCAAAGCGCTCAAACCCTGGCCTAACATCAGGCACAGTCACTTGTGCTTAAAGTGCTGTCCTCTGCATGGGAATTAAAGACCCAAAGACCCTTTAAGTGGAAAAGGTGTTGAATTAGTGGCAAAAACAGTTTAATCTTTCAAATTGAGCCAGGTAAATCAATGTGACCATTCATTTTCAAAAAATAAATAAATAAGAAGACCCTGTATTCTTACTGAAAGTAAGCATATATGATAAGTTGTATTCCATACTGATAATGTACCAGCTGAATAGTCTGCTGATTGTACACTTTGTCAAATGGTGGTCCATACTTTTTGATTGTACGTGTGTGAAGCAAAGTGCAGTCCTGTTTTCCTTGATCAGGCAAAGTTCGCTTTGGTTGCACTTGGAGTTGCATCTGCAAAGAAGTGCAGGGTAAGCTATGTAGGTGGAAGGAAAAAAGATGTTAAATACTGTAGTCAAATGCTGTCTGTGGAACTGGCAGGTGACGTGCTGCACAGCACGTGAGCATCGAGCACTGCTCAGGCAGCCTCGGTTCACACACCCGCACGTTTGGAAGGCAGCTGCCTGTTTTCAGAGTGTATTGTTCATCAGTGTGACATGCAAACTGCTGGCCTAGGTCATGTTTATGATGTGTCTTTCCTATACCGAATACTGAACCAAATTAAAAAATTAATTTCTGAAGCGGATGAATACCGCCCATATTTCCACTGGAAGCTGTTTTTCTGTGTATTGTAAACATCTAAAAGGCACTGAGAAATATATCAAGTTATCTCAAAGTGCCAGGCAGTGGTGGGAACTACACATGGAAAAGAAACAAAACACTGTCACTTGTGTAACTCTAAGATACTCATGTAAATATTTTCCTGTTTCTTTATAAAACTGAAATAAACATTAATTTTAGACTTGAGTGTTCTGAGACTGATTTTATTGCAAGATTTGGGGGTCTTTATGTATTTGCAGAAGGATCGCTTTTCCGGCTGACTGATGGACAGACTTTGGTGTGGTGCTGAGCCCTTTCGCTTGGCTGTGGACATGTGCATGGGAGACATCAACCCCAGGACACAAGTAGCTCCAAAGATACAAAGTCGGAATCAGTCAGTTCAGGTAAAAAAAATACATCTGCTGTGCATATCTCTCCAGCAGCAGGTCTATTGTGTCAGTTCGTATGTGAAGGGTGATGAGGAATAGCTGAAGAGGCTGGCAGGGGCTTGTCTAATTATCCTCTCCCATGTTGCCTGCTGCAGCCTTACCAAAGGGGAGCAGGGCAAGCTTTCAATACTCCCGGGGAGCATCAGCAGCGAAGAGGGGTCTAGCCTTATCCTTGCTCCCAGTAGGGAAAATTGTGGCAACTAGGGGTGAGTGTGTTCTTTTCCATCACAAGACCTTGCCCGTTGGTCCTGGCACCTGACTCTGGCTCCTTCTCTGGTAGCACTGTGCTGGGAGTGGCTGTGGTACGATGTGAGGAAATGCTCACTTTTGCTTGTTTGAGGTTTATCTGTTGGTTCATTCAGTGGTTACTGTACAGGGAAGCTGTAAGTGGTGTTAGTTTGAGAGGGGAAGAGATGCATGCTACCCCCCTTTCACACTTGCCTCATCCAAGATAGTTGGTGCCGATGTGTCAAGACTGATGCATAAGGGAAAGTGGAAAGAATCTGACTGAATCACACTTTTGAAAAAATAAAAGCTGCTTCTTTCAGTTTCTGTAGGTTGAATCTGATGCCAGCTAAGTGACATTCTTTCAGTGGTAAAAGGTCCCTGCTTTTGGCTATGGGAATGATTCAGAAGCTGGGCGAAGTAATTAAGAGTGGCGTTTTGATTAGACCATGGTGGTTATTAATGCCTCATGTCATCTTCAGGGCCCGCAGGAGTAGCTGTACAGTCCCCAGAGCTGTGTGTGGCCGAGGCTGCCGGGACCCGTTGGTGCTTTGCCTTCGAGTGAGCACAGCAGGTTTTTAGGTGCACACCACCTGCCCACGAGCATCTTCTCGCCCACCTCCCTGCCTCTCCCTCCCTGCTTCCATCCCCATGTTGGCTCTCCCCTCGTGATTGCAGACCAAGCTCTTTGGAGCTGAGACCCAGTGTTGCGGTTTTATTTTGCCTTCTGATTTAGCTGGAAAGTAAGAGTGATAATTTAGTGCCATCTACTGACTGCACATGGCTTACCTGGTACGTCTGTTTTTAAGTGGAGGTATCTACCAGACCCTGAGGCTGTTCTTCAGAGAAGGTAAGTGTGCAAACCTTGGAGAGGTTTGGTTTTGACTCACTGATGTGGTACCTGGTATTAACTGACACAACACCAAACAGGAGCATCCTGAACAATAACTGACGTATATGCCCATTTCTATTCTTGTTGTGATTGTATTGATGCTTGAGAGGCAGATTCTTGATGAATTAGCAATAATGTACTAACCTTCACTCAAAAAACTAAATATCTGCCTAAAAGCATGAGTATGTTGCTACTAGGGTACTTTATGGAAAATACAGAATTACATTGCTAGATAAGAACATCCTTATTACACCTTAATTTTACTTTTTTTTTTTTAAGAATTATGGTTTTAAAACAATTTAAATAAGCATGGATTGCTTCGCTTGTAACATTTCAAGGATAGCCTTAATTTGCCCATCATGTAAAACCCAACCTCAGCAGACTTTTACTCTTGTTCTTCTAAAACTTTAACATATTTTTGTTTGTTGCACTGAGGGACTGCTGTTCTTCTAAGGCAGCCAGAGACTCCAGGCTTCTCACCCAAAACCACATCTACCGGGACTACCCTGGAAGGCTCTTGGTGCTGCCCTTCAACCCAGGGCAGAGTGGGAGGACCTGGGGAATCCCCAGGAGCCTTGACAATTCATTTGGTTAGCAGTTTCTGCCTGGCTGCTACATACCTGGGTTTCCACCTCTGACTGTGCACAGACAAGCCAATAATGGTGTTCCTGGGCATGTGGCAGTCAGACCTCATCCTACGTGTGCTCTCTGTGATGCCCAGGCCTGTCAGAGGAAGGCTTGTGGCAAGCAGCACTCCCGCAGCGTGGCCCACAGCGCTGTGACTGCACCGAGGTGTGGCTCCCCACTTCAGACCAGTTACCCAAGACATAACTGAGGCACGCTGTTTATTGACCGGTGAACACACTATGAGGAAACTAGCAAAACAGGAAAATAATCAATAACCTAAGTACCGTACCACAGATCAACTTACATATTTATGCAAATTGTAAGGCACAGCTACGAAGTTACAAGCTCTTGATCTCGGACTTAATGAGTCTCACACAGAGCCAATCCTCAATGACAGTTTTCTAAGTCCCAAGGTGCAGGTCTGTCCCCCCACACCACCATATACAGCCAGAGAGACCTGATAGAGCGAGTCCAGTGGATTATCCCAGGCGATGCCTTCCAGCCTCCCCGGCCTTTGAGTCTGCAGGTCAGTGTTGCTACCAGCTGTAGGCTTCCACACTCCTACCATGAGCAGGAGCCCTCTGGTCATCTTCGGTGGACTTCATACCTCATCCTTCATTCTTTGGCATCAGGGCCCACCTTTTTGCCACCTCTTCTCCTCCACCCAAATCCCTCCCAAACAAACAACCTGCCCCCCATTACTTCATCCCAATTGGTTCTGATTTTGCTACAGCCATACCTAACTGTGCCATTTTTTATGCCATTAACCAGGCAGTCACAGCCTTATGTGGTGTTACTGGCACCAGGATACCCACTGTGGGCAGCCTGGCTCCCCATGACTCACTCATGGTTGTCCCATTGGGTTTAGTTTACCTCCTGTGTTTACTAGACACAACTATTCCACATTAGCCTTGATCCCAGTGCAAGCTGACAGTTTACATGCCAGAGAACAGCAGCAGAGGCACTTGTCACCCTTCTGCCAGCACTGCCGAGGCCTCAGCTCTGTGGGGCTGCAGGCTCCAGCAGGACCTCTTGCTCACAAGCCACCTCCTGATCTGCCTGACCTCCTGCGAGGACATTCAGACCACTCTGGGTGCCCATAAGCTCAATCCCTTCCGGCTGGAAGCCACCACAAGTGTTAGGCTAGCAATGCACGTAAGGTGTTCAACTGGGCACGTGAGATCATTCTTTCCTTTTGAAACAAGCAAAGCATATATAGAAGAATAAAGAATAACATGACTTATAACTATTAACAAGTACAGGATTAAGTGCTGCATACCAGTAGCTTTTGGAAACCAACCCATGGATACATCATACCAATGACATACAGTTCACAATTTCAGTCTCCGGTTCTGACAGTTCCTTACTTGCCAAGGTGGCCGGTCCTCTGGCTTGCAACTTGTCTGCTCTCTGGTTTCTTGGTTCTCTTCTGTATGCTGTCACATTGTCCTAACACCTTATCCCAGCGAGGCCTCTCAGCTCCCAGACAGACGTCATTGGTCCCTCGGTCTGGAACAAAACCCGGCTTTTGAGAATAGGCAAATGAAGGTACACCGCCAATGGATGTAATGTCACATCTTTGGTCTTCTCCCGGAGCCACCAAAGTCATGTTATTCTCCCACTGCAGGTGAGGCGATGCGTATACAGCCTGCACTGCTACCAAACACCACTGGTGTTCCCAGGCTGACTTGCTCCACTGACGGGTGACGATATCCTCCTGTGGCCCAGGAGCACAGCTGGCTGTACAGAACTAGTACACACATTCCATTTAGGTGTCCATTTGCAACAGCAGTTGGTGAAACTTCACTTGTAACATTGGATCTCTTTGTTGTTACGAGATCAGAGCAAATCCATCTGAAAAAGCTGTTGTAATAGATAACAATTGAGTTCAAGTACAATAGACAGAGATATTATTGAGTTTAATCCCATAGAGTTGGCACGTTTCGTTTAACTTGGCAGTTGCTTTCACCATGTGCCATATTTGATTATCCCAGGTAGTTATCATTGCTGTTGCATCAGACAACAATCCAAGGTTTGTTACCCATTTAACTTGTATATGATTCAAAATTGCTGCCATTTTCATAGAACAAATCACAGAATGGTTGAGGTTGAAAGGGACCTCTTGAGATTATCTGGCCCAACCCCCTGCTCAAACTGGGTCATCTAGAGCCAGCTGCCAGGGACTGTCTCCAGATAGCTTTTGAGTATCTTCAAGGATAGAGACTCTGCAATCGTAAGACAGGCACAACCCATATACATACAGGTCACACTCTGGATGTATTAGAGAATAGTTCATGCCTCACACATCAGTTCCCCGTCTTACAGGATTAATATGGATACTGTCCTAACAGTGTTTGTGAATACTTGTGGATGGTGTGTTTTTAGTTTCGGATTTGCTCAGTGGCCAAAACTAAATCTGCACCATCTGAACAGTTAAGATCATATCAGGTGACACAACTGCATCCCTCTATTATTACACTGGTTGCAAAGGTACCATTTGTATCCCATGCAACTTCTGCAGCTGACCCACACGAATCCAAGCTGAGTATCTAATTTATTAGTTCCACCTTTTTGTCCAGTCCATGCTCTCCTACAGGTGAAGGAATTCTGGAAGGACTATTAACAAATGATTATTACTGGGAAACCAAACATCTGAGGTCATTCCCATTGTCTTCAGGTCTTCTATTAAAATTCCTTTGACATCTTTTCTGAAGGAAATAAGATTATTAACAGTACTGGTGATGCTCCACATCCAAAATATCACTCTTACACCTAGAAGCCAGCAGAACACACTGAACAGGGCCTGCAATGCTTTAACAGTATTCCCGATGCTGTCTTAACACGACAACGAGCACCTCGAAGAAGATGGTTTTGGTGAGGCTCTCTGTGGTCCACACCTGTGATTCATCTCACAGCCACATTTGATCCTGAAAACCAATCTTACTTACGTGTTAGTTAGAAACATTCTCTCCGATTTGTTGGCAGTGGGCCCCATCTACCCATGAACATCCCCCCCCCCCCCCAACTTCTTTGTTTCCAATTAGTTCTGTGTTTCCCAACCCAGGAGCCACATTCACCCCTAAATATTCTCTGGGCCTTCCCCTTCATACCTGGGGTGTGGATAGGACCACATTTCCTAGTGGGGGGTCGATTTTTATGTTGCTTTATATTGGCATGCTGCTCCACAGCTGTGTGACGCTGGAGAGCAGCCGTGAGCCCGTGCTCCCCACTGACCGAACCAGTATCGGAGGCGCACGGCTGGTTACTGACATCGCCACAGAGGGTACCGGTCTGTGTGGCAGGGCCAGACCAGCTCATAAGGGCTGCGGTAACACCCGGTGGGCTCTTTGCTCCAGCACACAAACAGAAGTGCTCCAGCTTAGTCCTTTTTTCTTCAGAAATTAGCTTCTATCTCACCTTGACGGGTCTATTTGTTCTCTCTAGTATCCTGGAGGACTGTGGGTGGTAGGAAACGTGAGATAACTGATGCACCCCTAGCCCTTTCAGGAACTTCTGACTGGTGCATCTGTCAAGTGGTTCCCTTTATGTGAATCAGTTAAGACTGGGGGACCGCACGCATTCAACACTTTACTTAAACTCCGTACCATGGTGTTAGCAGTAGCCTCAGACAATGCCATCGTCTCTGTCCATCTTGCTGTTCTGTCAATAGCAATAAATACAAACTGATCCAAACCCTCCCTTAACCTCTTGAAGGGGTCCACATAATCAATTCGCCACTGTTAAGTGGTGTCCACTCCTGGGGTCAAAGGCATAACCCAATGTGGATTTACAATTCACAGAATGGCTTGGGTTGGAAGGGGCCTTTAAAGATTGTCTAGGCCATCCCCCCCAAAGTTGCAAGGGGTTGCCACCATCCACATACCCCACACCTCTGGACTCCCACAGAAATTGCAAACATAGATTTAAAATCCCAACCTATTCAGCCTTTGTTGCACCCCCTGAGCCTCCTCGTGACCCTTCTGTGCTTCAGCACCATATGGGTACTGGGATAGGAAGAGGGGATCTCTGTCTGGAACAACCTCATACTCTTCATTTACTACCCCTGTTTCTGTTTTAGTTTTAGACCAGCACTTCACTGACTTGGGGACTCCTGTGATCGTTTCACTTCCTGAGGCAGCAGCAGCACTATACAGTTTTCCCTTGGACAGATTTACTTTAAACTGAGACAGGAAATCCATTCCTAAAATGTTTTTACCAGAATTATCCACCCATCCAGTTTACCCTCCCCTACCCACAACCGGGCTTCTACTTCTTTTTCCCTCCTCACTCCCAATATCCAGATGGATTTAGCCAGGAGTGGAAGACCCTTATAATCTAATAATGTTGTCTCCAATCCCATAGCAATTAAAGTAACTTAATCTCCCCCCCCCCTCCCCTTCTACAGACATACCTCCACACAGCCACTTCCCCCTGCACACCAGGTCAGTGTGGTGGAGGTTAACCCCACTGACACCAGGGGTTGGGACTCCTAATCTTTAAGGTGCCCTAAGGAGATAGGGGGAGGAGCTGATAGATTCATCTGCTTCAGTTTTTCCCACATCTCCTCTTGCTTCATCCCCTTTTCCTGAATGATTTTCTTCATTTTGGCAAGTAAAACTCCTGTGGGCTGACTATCTAGCTCTCCTTCATTCACCCCCTGGCTTATTAAATACCTCCAAATTGTCCCCCTCGGAATGTATTTCCTCCTTTTTGCCCCCAGCCCATCCCTCTTTGCCATCCCTTTCCCCTCAGCTCCTATTAGGGTCCCCATGTTTTCCAAGGTAGCCATGCATTCACCAAGCGGGCGGCCAATTAAAGTAGACCCCAGACTGATGAAAAACCCTTTGTGCAGCTCAGGAGCACGGCAGGCTAGCACCCCCACGTCCCCCTGCTCCACCTTCACCCCAAAGATGTCAAAGTCAGGGGTCACCAGTGTCTCCCTTTGCTTTAACACCCGGAGTAAGACATTCCCACACACATAGGCCGACGCCTCCTGGACGTCTCTCCAGGGTGCCCCCTCCATGTTATCTTTGAGAGGCTCATACTCTCCCAAATTTCGGATCACCAGCCTTAAGATCTCCCCCCCCGACACCTCACCGGCAGGCAGGGCTCTGATAACGGCCCCCACCTTGGGCCACGGCAGCCCAATGGCGGTCACCACCTGCTTCGCCGCCTCGTGCGTGAAAGGAGTGCACTGCTCCAACGTCCACATTCGGTTCACCCACAAGGGCCAGCCCTCCTTCCGCTTCCTCCAAGCCTTCTCTTTCCTGGACATATCCCCCTCTCCCTGGCCTCCATCTCCCTCCGCCAGCTTTGCTTTCTTATCGCCCGCAGTGCCTGCTCCTTGCGCCGGCGACTCTTTCTGCGCCCCCGAGCTCCAGCTGTCCCTGTCCCACCCCGCTGGGTCCAAGTTGAGAGCCGCCACCACGCTCCGATCCAAACCCTTCCCCAGGGACAGCAGGGTGCCCAGGCACTGCACTTTGCTCCTCAGCTGGGCATTCTCCACCGCCGCCGCCCTCAGCTCTTCCCGCAGCTTGCGCAGCTCCTCGGCCTGCTCGCTCAGCAGCGAGCTGTCGCACCGCAGCGCCAGGATTTCGTTGCGAGCCCCCTGCAGATCGTTTTGCAGGTTCTGGATACGCTCCTCCTTCTGTTCCACCGCCGCCTGCAAGACCCGGGCTAGACCGAACAACAACCACTGCAGGGCCGAGCACTTCTTCTCCCCCTTGGGATGGTAGACAGACACGTAATTCTGCCAGTGCCTTTCCGCAGCTTTCAGGGTGGGATCCTGCCCAACGACCGCGGAGTCCCACGGGTCTCCCCCGTGCTCCAGCATGGCCTGTACCAGCAGACCCCTCTCTTCCCGGTTTGGGGAGCTTTCCGGATCCTCCTTCTCCCTTGACTTCCCCCCCCTCGTTAGCCAGGACATCTTAACCTCAGCCAGCCCAGGCGAGCGCTGAGCCGGGATAGCGTCGGGCAAAGACACGCGTGTCACCACCCCCCCCGGGCTCTCCTTCTTCAAATCCGGCGCCCGAAGCGCAGCGGAGCTACAACGGGCCGCCCGCTGACTAACGGGCGCGACCGCAGGGCGCCCCGCGCACCCTCCCCGCGCCCCACCCCACCCGCGACCTGCTGTCGGCTCCAACCGGCGGCCCCTAGCGATGCCTCCGGACAGGCAGAGGCAGCCGCACCGCGGGACCAACTTTTATACCCACGGCCCCGCTCCCGGGCCCCCCGGGCAGCACCACCCACCCCCGCCCGCCGGCCGGCCGGGCCTCGCCCACGCCCCGCGGGACCCGGCGTGGCCATCTCTCCGCCCCCCACGGCTGGTGGGCGGGGCGCCCCTTGGTGGGCGGGGCTATGCGGCGCCATTGCCCCGCCCGTCGCCCCGCCCCACCCTGAGGCGGATGGCCGCGGCGCTGCGCGGCGGCCGCCGGTTCCCGCGGCTGCTGCTGGCGGCGGCGGCGGCTCCGGTCCCGGTCCCGGTCCCGGGGCGGCTGGGCGCCGCCATGCAGCAGCCCGCCGCTCTCCCGGGCGGCCCCGAGGGCGGTGCGCGGGCGGGCGGCGGGGGCTGGCTGGGCGCGCTGCGCTTCGACAACCTGGCGCTGCGCTCGCTGCCGGTGGAGGCCTCGGAGGACGGCGGGCCGCGGATGGTGCCCGGCGCCTGCTTCTGCCGGGTGCGGCCCAGCCCGCTGCAGAACCCGCGGCTGGTGGCCATGTCGCTGCCGGCGCTGTCGCTGCTGGGACTGGAGGCGCCGGCGGCCGAGCGGGAGGCGGCGGAGGCCGAGGCGGCGCTGTACTTCAGCGGGAACCGGCTGCTGGCGGGCTCGGAGCCGGCGGCCCACTGCTACTGCGGCCACCAGTTCGGCAGCTTCGCGGGGCAGCTGGGCGACGGCGCCGCCATGTACCTGGGCGAGGTGCTGGGCCCGCGGGGCGAGCGCTGGGAGATCCAGCTCAAGGGCGCCGGCCTCACCCCCTTCTCCCGGTAAGGCCCCGCGGGGGGGCGGGACGGCGGCGGCACAGCCCGGTGGAGCTCGGTTTTGGAGGAGCGGGGCGGGGCGGCGCCCCCGCGCGAAACGCCAGCTGCGTGGCCGGCTGGCTGCGCGGGGGTGACCGGGGACGGGCTTCCCGCTAATCGCGTTAGCGAGGTGCTCCTCCAGCTGGTTTTGTGCCGAGCGGCATTCCCCGAGGCACAGCGCATCCCTGAAGCCCTCCTGGGTTGTTGCCTTCGCTGCAGCAAGTGCGGTGATTAAACGCCAGACCAGAAGGTGGCAAATTTTTCCTCTGGAAAATAGGACCGTAATTGCGTCTCCTTCAGGTGGTATGCCGTTTCTGCCCCTGGTTACCCTCCTCTCGGGTTTTTCCCCCTTTTGGAGGAGGGTGCAGAGCGTGAGGAAAGCGGGGAGAGCGGTGTGTAATGGCCACCTGGCTGCTTGCTGCCGTATGGTCCCTTGGCCCATGCAAATGGTATTTGAAATGCGGGTGTTTGGTTGGTTTGTGCTGCTGGTCCTGCTGCCAGCAGTGCCTTTCCTCCCTCCTTCCTGGCTGTGAGAGGGAGTGGTGGAAGAGCCCTTAAAAACAGCATACTGACCAAATCCCTGCAAGGGGTTGGATATCTTCATTAGTTAGTTTAGCCTGCTTTAAATCTTTCAGGTCGTTTTTCCCACTTGCATTTCATGTATTTTCCGTTACAGCAGTGCACAAACTCAGTAGCACCTTGGCTTCTTACATGTGGTGTTCTGAAGGTCTTCAGGTCTGTGAAGGTTAAGGAAATCACAGTGAAAATCTCAGATAAGGTGGTAGTGTTGTAGGTCTGCCTGGGGCAGCACTCCTGCTTGCTTGGGGCTCCTGAGGTAGGGCTGAGACCCACCCACTCCTGCTCCATTTACTTGATATCTGTTAAATAAGCTAGTTTGCTATCTGCTGTCTGTTCAATGTTTTTTTTTTAAGTGCAACTGCTCTGCATGCCCATCTTTAACACCCCATTTGTAGATTACTTACCCAGAAAGATCCAAAATAATATTATTTTTCAAGAGGCATAACGGTAGACCTGTTATTAAGAGGAAACCAGTGACTTATTATATAATAAAACATCTGTACTTGTCCAAATTTTTCAAACTTTTTGAAAGACTGTTGCAGCAATAAAAACAGCAGAGTTAATGATTAGAAGGGTTATGTGTAACAGGAAGGTTTATATTCTCCTGCTATGTGCGATCTTCACTGCAAGTGCTGTGTTAGTCTAGTTGTGCTTTAACAGAAGTTTGAAGTTCGAGCTTTTGTTCTCAGATCTGCAACTACTTTGTTGTCTGACTGTGGACGGAACATGTCATTTCTAGGCCTTTGTTTCCCCACTGCTAAGGGGGAGACAGGATTTACTACCTTTACAGTCTGAAAACTGGTCGGTTTTATCTTGTTGCAGTCAAGCTGATGGTCGGAAGGTCCTGCGGTCAAGCATCCGGGAGTTCCTGTGCAGCGAGGCGATGTTTCACCTAGGAATTCCAACAACGAGGGCGGGAACGTGTGTGACATCTGACTCGAAAGTTGTCCGTGACATATTTTATGATGGGAATCCAAAAAGTGAAAGGTGTACAGTTGTTCTGAGAATAGCTTCTACGTTTATAAGGTAAAAGCCTATTCTGTTGCTTTTTTTATTCTTTTGAAACCAAGTACAGCAGTCTTTTCAAATACCACTTTAAGCGTGTCTGCATAACAGCACCCTTTGTGTGTTTCTTGTTGTGGGGGTTTGGAACTCTTGCTGGGCTGTGGGAAGATGCTTTTCTTGTCCAGCGGATGGGATGAGCTGCTGTCTTTGCACACAGGCAGATAAACACAGGCTGGTAGAAAGATGAACCAAGCTCTGCAGACCTCAGCAGAGATGTTTCATGTTTATGCCTGCACAGAATACATGCTTTTTTTGATGCTGGTAGTAGTGGTGGATTATAGCTGTACCCTTAATTCCAAGGCTGTTCTAATGTTTTACTGGCAAAGTTTGGGTGTACTTGCCCTGCCAGAGAAGTACGTGAGGTTCCTGCTCTGACACAAAACATTAGAAGTTTCAGGAAGTTGCATTGCTTCTTGTAAGGTAACAGAATATTAGAGGAGGGTGAGGCATAAGGAATATGTGCATGTGTATGTATGTGTATATATGTGTGCGTGCCTGTATGCTTGTGTGTATGTATGTGGAAAAATACATCTTAGATGCTTGATGAACAGTCTGGTATTTTAAGTAAGTCGTTCTATTCATGTATAGGATAGGAATTTTCCTGTAGAAGTGGTCATCAGAAACTTTAACAAGCTGGTCTCCACTACTAGCTGGGGTCTTGATCTGTCAGTTTAGTTACACGAGGATGTGTGGACTTCGTTGCGGTGAGTCGCTGAGCCTCGCTAGGTTCAGTGTAGGTATCTTGCGGGTCTTTTCTCTCAAGTCAGTTGAAGGATTGGTGTTAAACTTGAGATGATGTCGTGTTACTGCAACAACAGTAAATGTTTTTACTACTTGTAATATTAAATGAAGTTAATAGTATCAGATAATACTAAAACGTGGTTGTTCTTATTTTGAAACAGATTTGGTTCTTTTGAAATTTTTAAACCTACTGATGAATACACGGGACGGAAGGGTCCCAGTGTTAACCGAAATGATATTCGAATACAGATGCTTGATTATGTGATTGGCACTTTCTATCCAGAAATCCAGGAGGCTTATTCAGACAACAGTATTCAGAGAAACGCCGCTTTCTTCAAAGAGGTAAGAAAGATCAGATTCTCTTCATAAATCCATAGCGGTCATGTTGAGGAACTTCACCTGCAAGCACAGATGCCTGGAGTCGGTTAATGCCTCCTGTCATCCAATTGCCTGAAATATTATTTTCTTGGAAGAAAACGTTCTTAATAGAACTGCTTATCGATGAAAGCAATGTTGATATTGATCAAACTGGTGGGAGTGTTTTTAAACTTTTTATTAGTAAATCATGGTTTCTCTGCTCTGGGATTGCTTCCCAAGACTTGTCTCCATTTCCTGAGTGTCATAGACTTCGAGGAGGAATTATGGCTCTGACTGTCAGATGATGAGTTGAAGGTACCGAGACATCACTTGCAAGGCATTGTATTCTAAAATACAGAGAATTTTGAGTCACTTCCAGTCTCTCATTTTCCAAATTACAAACAGGAATGTTGACTGCAACACACTTTAACTTAAGGGTTTAGAACTGAAATGTTAAAGGCAATCGAGCACTTTGAGGGCTTGCCGGAGGAAGTTGCAAAACCTTCAGCTCTGGGAAGGGTAAGATCAGATGACATAAACAGTGTCTTAGATGTGGTACAGTATCGGGTCATTTGGCAGTGGCCTAGAGGAGAGGCTGGGTGATTTCTCAGAGACCCATTTTGAACATGTTTTCAATTACTGTAAAAATTTAGACCTTAACAATTACTGGAGATCCATAATAAAACTCAGAACTATAACTTTAATAAATGTAGAATTGCTGTATTTCTTTTTGAAGTAAAACATAGATAAAATAATTGGTATCTACACTTTGGCTCCTGAATATACCCTTTGCCTCACTGTCGATACTGTATTGGTATTGTTGACATGGAATTTCTGGTACTATATTACTGTGTCTCAGTGAGCAAATAATTTGGGGTAAGAGAATAAGACGCTTGTCTTTTTGTATTTTAGTAATGGTACCCTTGCAGAAGTCTGAAATTACTGGAGAACTGTAGTAAAGGCTCTGATCAGGACCTGAAGTTCAAATTATGTTACAACCCAAATAAGAATGTTATAACTAGTCAGTAAAAAGAATAATTAAAAAAGTACCACATTCTAATACACTTGACTAGTCTAGGTAAAAGCAGTTGTGATGCTTTAAAATCTGAAGTGATCTGGTAGGGACTGTGGGAATGGCCGCAACATGATGCGTGTTCACAAGAGACCAATAAGAGGTCAAAAGGCAGGCTTAAAATCTGACGTTCTTGCTCTCTTTTTTTAATAGTGGGGAAGTGCTGTCAGCTCAACTCTGACCTGGTTTATCTTTATTTTTGTACTATGGAAGAACTGGAGGAAAAAAGTACAAGTGATTAGTTTTGACAGCACTGTCTAGAAAGCAAATACCATTATCTGTACTTGCCAAATAATTTGTAGGTGGTGTTTACATTTAAATGACCACGTCCTTGAGACAGTGCTCTTGTTTATATATATGCCGTACTTGTTTTCTAGTACGGCTAGCAGTAGAAAAATGTGATCAAAAAGAATGAAGGTCAAAGTGCGTGCAAAGCTGTCTTTCTAATCATTATACCCATCTTTGTGTGGTGCCCAAGCTGTAATTGCTTTCAGGTGCTCTCATTAGCAGGATTTCTTTTTTACCAGAGCACTGGCAGTGTGTGATGTGCTCACACAAACACATCCAGCAGTTATGAGTTGCCTTACTGCTGGAGTGCTTTCATCCCAACTCTGGTGGCCAGGATTTTTTTTTTTTTTTTTTTTTTTTTTTTTTTTTTTTATATTTAAGTTTTGACGTCCTCCTGGCACAGAGTCATTGTACAGGGTGTGTCTCCCTTACTGGTTTATGGCATGCTGGTAATCAGTTCTGAACACGTGTAGCTGGCTGCTAGCTGCCCCGTGAAGCAGCATTCAGGAAAAATGGGTAAAGAAACCAACACGAGAATATTGTAAAAAGCAGGTGCATGCATCATTTGTGGGTTTTACCACCTGTCAGGTTATGCCAGGGTGCAATTTTTCTACTTTTGCTTCCTTACCTGTCGTGGTTTGGGCACGTGGTTTTGTCAACCCAGGACATTACCTGACTGCACGTTTAAAAAAAGGAAAATGGAAAAATTATGAGTTTGAAAACAGAGGCATAAAACTAACGTTTCCTCTGTTAACTAGGTCAGTTTTTAAACCTTAATAAAATACTCTCTACAATACAGCCTGGAGAGAATAGTTGCTTTAGGCTTTTGTACCTTGATAGCTGCTTGGGAAGATGAATGATTCTTATCTGTGAAAATAGTTCGATTTAAAAGTTTTAGCTAATGGCTACATAAAACTTTTATTTAAAACAATTCAGTAAAGTAGTTAGAAATACCTAGGGTTTTTTAAAAGCCAGGTAGCTTTCTGAATTTTAGATTTTATAGGGCATATCTAGTTGTAGTTGGCAGGTGGGCTAATTTAATGAAATAAGTAGAGCTATTTTAAAATATTACAGTATGTATTTGAAGAATGGAGCATATGCAGTGGTTGCAGTCAAGGATTCCATAACAATACCTTTCAGTTAAGCAATGGAGAAACTCTGGCGAAGCATGCATTCAGTGAAGAATTGCATTTGAATAAAATTGTCATTCTTGGAATGTTTTGTATTGTAGCTTTTTTCCACTCTCAGTAAATTGAGGGAAGTGCTTATCAGTGCTAAAACTTGTTAGCAGGGAGTAATTTTTTGTGTAACCCACTTACCTTCCTGTAAATCACTCCTACGTATCAGGTAAACCAAAAGACTTAACTTTACATTGGGATTTGTTTAATTTTATTTCTTAGACTTTGCTTATGTTTTCTTCTGCCTGTCTTTAAAATTAGTAGTAAACAAAAGAATGTATTTGTATAACGACTGGAGTAGTATGTAAGTCAGATGCCAAACAGGCTACCTTATTTCAGCATTCTGTCTCCAGTGCGTTTTAAAGCAGTACAGTTGACTTGGAAGTCAAGCATGGAAGGAAAGAAGAGAAGGCAAACAGAAATGGGAGACTGAGAAGTAGGGCAATTACAGGAGGAGAAGGGGCACACTGTCTTTAAGGTATTTGTGTGTATGGCATACTGCCAGAATCTGTTTCCTTTGGAGATGCAGAAACATCAGTTCAGACTAGGAAATGCTTGGAAATGCAGAAATACATTGTGTTGAAAAATGGAGAAAAAAAAAAAAAAATATAAAAATCTCTTTTAGGTAACAAAACGGACAGCGAGATTGGTTGCTGAGTGGCAGTGTGTTGGGTTTTGTCATGGCGTGCTGAACACAGATAACATGAGCATAGTTGGACTAACCATTGACTACGGCCCTTTTGGATTTATGGACAGGTCAGTGTGGCATAACTGAAATGTGCATGTGTATTTGCTATGTAGAACAATCAGATTTTCACGACTGCTTTAATATTTTAACTCTAAAGCAGATTTATGAACCCTCTGTGGCAAAGTAGATTAAGTTAGTTCAAGCTGTCCTGTAATTCATATTTTCAATTTCTTAACAACTGTGTTCACAACATGTGTAACTGTTTGGACTGTTCTTGTAGCCTGTGGGGTTTCTCAGTGTTTGAGAGGTCAGGAAAATATCTGATGAGGTAACTTTGGGAAAAGAATCAAGGAGAGCTTCCTTTGGAATTTTTTCATTTCCTAGAGGAGACTAAAATAATAAAAATAACACTTCTCACGGTATTGGTGTCCACATAACTAGAAGAATGATAACTATTTCTTCATTTGTAGATATGACCCTGAGCACATTTGCAATGGTTCTGATAATACAGGGCGCTATGCTTACAACAAGCAGCCAGAGATTTGCAAGTGGAACCTGGGGAAGCTTGCTGAAGCTCTAGTGCCAGAGCTGCCCTTGGAAATAAGTGAACTCATCCTGGAAGAGGAATATGATGCAGAATTCGAGAAACATTATTTGCAAAAGATGAGGAAGAAACTAGGCCTGATCCAGCTGCAATTAGAAGAAGATAGCAAGCTTGTGTCTGAACTCTTTGAAACCATGCATCTCACAGGTTGGTAAAGAGCACAGAAGGTTGTTATTTATGAGCCCATCATTATCCATAATCAAACCAAAATGGAGTTTATATCTTGACTTTACAAGAAAGCAGCCTTGTGCAACTACATTGTCATCTGAGAGGAGAACAAAAGACTGAAAAATAATTACCTTCTTGTAAACTGTGGGGCAGTTGTTGCCTTGTACAGGGCTCCCCCTGTTTCACATTTGCACCCTCACTGGGGCACCAGTTTATTTGTCTCTCCAGAGTGGTAACCTGTACTGCTGTGGGGCGACTTGGGAAGGAGGCATGGGACATGTTTTCCTGCTGATTTATTAGTGGCATCCCTCATAGAATTCACTTTTTCAGGTGGAGACTTCACAAATATTTTCTACTTGCTGAGTTCATTCTCCGTAGACTCTGAGCCTTCAGAATTGGAAGGTTTCTTAGAAGACCTTGTAAGTCAGTGTGCTTCTGTGGAAGAACTGAAAGTTGCTTTCAAACCACAGATGGATCCAAGGTAGTACTACTCTTTATTTAAATGCTTTTGGCCTGTGTTTTTACCTTCATTATAACTATAATGAACTCTGCATGCTATGTAAGATTTGACTTAATTTTCAGTTTGGAAATTTCACTGTTAAGTAGATGCATTATGATATACAGCAGTGCAAATTCTTGTGTGTTTTGTGACTGGTGAATGCTCAGCAGTGACTTGCAGCAGTTGGCTCTTGGGCTAAAGCGGTTTGAACTTTCATTTGGTCCAAATTTTTTTTTTTTTTTTTTTTTATCTTCTCCACTGACTCTGCTGACTAAGGCAATGAGAGTGCCAGATAGTGACGTGATACAGTAATATTTTATAGAAGAAATGGATTTGAACAATAGTGTTACCATGTTCGGCCAATGTACTGTCAGCAAATAATCACTTTCAGCCACAAGTGTTCTGGGCTGAGTATAACCTAAATATACACTTTAGGCTCAGAAAACTGTGTGGTGCTGTCCGTGTCCTATTTGATGGGCCACGTTCTGCAGTCCAGCTACTCAGAGCATGGAAGAGTAGTAAGTTTTGTTCAGCTGCTGCTTTTAACAATGATTGCTGCAGTTTTTCACTTTTTGGAGCAGTGGAAAACGGAATGATTGTGATGCGTTAATTTGTTATTTTTCTTTCTAGTATCTTCCCAGATAGGGGAAAAAAAGTGGGGGTATTTTGGGTACATTTTTTACTCTCTCTCTTTGTTTATTAAGTGTTTCATGAAGGTAATGAACCTACCAAATTTTTCACCTTTTTCTGTGTGTTGCTATTGCAGTCAACGACTTGCAGAAAACAGGGTGTTTGGAAAATGGACTGTCATGAAACTCGTTCATGCAAGTTTGGTGTTACACCAAAATGGTTGGCTGGAGCTATTTACAATTTTGGAGATATTACTGGTTATTTAAGTTTTTGTCCTAATACACTAAAATTAAAGTGAAATAAATTAATGTGGTGCATACTGCTTATTTAATTAAGTTCCAGGTTTCAGCTACTTTGAAATTGTAAGCAGGTGTTACGCAATATGAAGATATCTGGTATGATAGAGATGAGAATATCTTTTTAAACACTGCATTGATGCTTAGAGGAATGTGAAAAGTAGCTGTGAATCATTGTGACAGGGATGTAAAGCTTTGGAGGGAAGTAGTACTGTTTTAAAGTGAGTGCACAACTGATTATTTTTGTTACAGCACTTGGATATCGTAGAGCAGGGCGTGTCAGATGTGTAAATCACACGTGGATAGTACTTTATTTAAAGCATCTAGCTTGTCTCTGCTAACTAAAAGTAGGAAAATACAATGTGATCAAATGAGTTGTCTGGTTTGAGGCCAAGGAATAATGTTTCTTTTCTCCTTTGTTTATAAATGCATTCACAGAAGGAAATAGAAATACATAGTGTATTTTGATATGCTGCAACTTACACTCTTTGCTGTTTGTGTTTTTTTTTTATTTCACTTTATGCTGTAGTGCAGTTATTAATCCAGGAAAAATAAGTTAGCCAGCAAGGTATTGAAAAATAAGGTGAAGCTATTGTACAGCACCAGCTAATGCAGTCAAATGTAAAAAGATACAATCTTACTTCAGCTTGCAGCAAAATAACCTGGATATTGTTAGGAATTTATTACCACAGAATAGTTCTCATTCTGTGATTTAGACTGGCTAACTAAAAAAAGGTAAACAAACTGTTTTGTCATATGACTTAAATGAGGTATCTTTCCTCATATTCTTTGGGTTTTTATTAGTACTGGTAAAATTAGTAGGTGTTAGATCTTTATTCTGCATGCTGTTACAGTATTAGTGTTAGGAAAAGAAATTTTTAAAACCCCAAATCTATGGATTCTGCATTATCTTGATACTTAAGTAAGATCAAATTCTTTATTCCAAATTACTTGCAAAGTTCCAAGGGGATTTTGATGAGAATTGCACATCTAAACCCTAACCGGTAATTCCGAAAATCTGCTGTCTGCACTTTATGTACCACAGGAATGTGATTAAGCACACTGAAGAAGGGGGAAGGGACGGTAAAATTAGCATAATTCATAATAAAAAAAATTGTTCTGTTGATTATGAAGTACTGTTATTTCACATCTCTAGTGAAATCATAGGTTATTGTGAATGTTTCCATATCTGCTTTATGGTTGCAAAAAGATGGGTCTTGACAGGCAGCTCAAATTTAATATCTAATGTGTTTGTTCCTTTTGTTCCCAGACAACTGTCAATGATGCTAATGTTGGCTCAGTCTAATCCTCAGCTGTTTGCATTAATTGGAACAAAAGCAAATATAAATAAAGAATTAGAACGCATTGAACAGTTCTCTAAACTGCAGCAGTTAACAGCAGCTGATTTACTCAGCAGAAATAAAAGACACTGGACAGAATGGCTGCAGAAATACAGGTAAGGTTTCTCAGTACTCATAGCAGTGTATTTCTGCATTTTATTTGAGAACAATGGGCCTGTCTCACGAGACACGTGCTGTCTCAAAGTATATAAATTAGGAGGGGTGTGGGGGGCATGCAACTCAGAATATTAACTAGTGTCAAGAGCAGTATTTGTGTTGCTGTGAAAGTTCAAGGGCATCTTTGTATTTCGTTTGCTAGATTTTGGGGAGGGGGCAGGGGTATAGAAATCACTTAGCATCAAATCTAATATTAAAAGTGCTTCAGGAAGTTCAAGCTGATGTTAATTCTAGCAGAGACTCATTTCAGTCATGAGCTTTTAAGTGTTCAGTAACTACAGTTGACTGACCTCTAAGCATTTTATCCTTTTAAAATTTTTTTCTGAAAGAAAAATCTATGTATTGATACAGAAAGCAAGTAGAAGTATTCTTAGTCAAAGAGCAACTATAAAAAAATCATGGCCAGGAAGTGAATGTCCAGACTATTCTAATAGGCATAACTTAAAAGCCAAAAAACGTAGTGTTAGCAGGAGATTTTTTTTGTTGTTGTTTATAAAGAAAACCCCTTAGTAGAGCATTAGTTGTTTCTGCTGTGTGGATTAAGTCAAGACTCATTTCCTTACCTGGCCGACTGTGATCTTGTTCTCCAGTGGGACTGAATGTTTTAGCAAGTATTCCTGCTAAAAGGTAGATGAAACTGCCTTGGTTGTATTGCATCCCTTTACTTTTATCAGAACATCAAAAACTTTAACCAATAAACAAGTATAAAAATACTTAAAAGATAAGATCTGAATGTGGTGGATTTTGTGCAGTGATACAGAACAGACTGCACCAGTGTCTGTCTGACTTTTCAGAATACATGCAAGGTGTGCCACCCCCTCGAGCCTGGTCAGGACCTGCTGACGGTCTGTGATGCTTCTTTTAAATGTAGTGATGCGTTGTCTTCTATTGTTGTGCTGCACTTTATAAACCAAGAGGATTATAAGTGATGTGATATATTTATTAAGAGCTGCAAACTAAGAATCTCAAGGCAAGGAAACGCCAACTTTTACGTGTGATTCTTGATTCAAACCAGTGATTTTCACTTACTTAATTTCAGAGTCCGTTTGCAAAAAGAAATAGAAAGTGTTGGCGATGCTGATGCCTGGAACACTGATCGTGTGAAGGTTATGAATTTAAACAATCCAAAATATATATTGAGAAATTATATTGCCCAGAATGCCATAGAAGCAGCTGAAAATGGGGATTTCTCAGAGGTATGTTATTACTACTTAGTATCTCTCTAGGTTTGTGTGGATGTGTAGTGGTGCTGTTGGTGACTGACATTATGCTAGGCAAGATTCATTCACTCGGGCAGTAAAGGGATTGGGAATTTACTGTTCAGAAAGTCTGTATTATTTTTGAGGGAGCTGTAATTTTAATGACTGCAGAACAAAGAAAGGAATTTAAAATCTGAATCTGAACTTCACCAGCTCTTGTAGGCTGATTCCAGGACAAGACACTTACCCCTGCTTTTACGGTCTTCAGTATGGTGTGTACCTTGGGAGGCAGTTGCTGTGCTAAGCAGTGCTGTGCTAAGTGTTGTCTTTTTGAACTTAAGGCTTTCACCTGTGGGATTCAGCATATGAATTGTTACATGCAGAATATGGGAAAAATAATTTATTTCAGGAAATGACATAAGAACTTGTATTTGATACTTGCATTTCAAGTTATTTGAGCTTGAGTTCCATACAGATACAAACTCAGCCAGTTATGATCTTACAGTTTTCAGCTTATTTGATATTAATATTGTTTATCTATTTAATATTTGGTTTGTCTGGAATTCATGTATTAAATACAATGTAGTCGATCATTGTTTAGTGTGAGGTTCTCTACATCATTTTGTCTTTATTTTCTAATAGCCATTTCTCATAACTCTGCTGTGCTTTCTCTCTAGGTAAGAAACGTACTGAAACTCTTGGAGAATCCGTTCCAAGAGGCAGAAGGTTTCAGGGAGGTAAAAGAAGATGCAGAAGAGGAGGGAGCAACTGCTACAGCAGCTGCTTGTGCTCAAGAGACCAGAAGCAGACTACCATATTGCAATAAACCTCCACTGTGGGCTTCGGAGCTCTGCGTTACATGATCTTCATAACTGCCTTGGTTTGTTTTTTGCTGTAAACTGAAGACTGTGGTCCTCCTTCAGCAGTGAAGAATTCAGCAAGGCAAACATCAAAGTGCTATTAAGTTACAGAAACAACCCTACATTTGGATGCATCTGCAATAGCCTTCAGCTGTGCTTAATTTGAAGCAATCATGGATCATTGAAACAAACCCATGACAATCAACAGTCTGTATACATCAGTCATTTAAATGTTTTGAGAAGGAAAGTCTTTCCTTTATTCATCCTTTATTGCAAGTAGAAAGCAATATTTTATGTTGAGGCAGGCTGAATTTTGAACATCCAAATGGAGTTGTTATGTGAAGACAAAAATAGCAAGTCAGGAATCTGATCTGTTTTTGTCTGATGTCTTAACTAATAGTACTTCTAACATTTATTTACTGCTTTCTCTATGCAGGGACTTTTAGTCCTCTTTAATGGAGGAATAGATTCAGTGTTGCTTGTTTGAAGCTATGTTTCATTTAATTAAATAGTTCATTTCTTGTGAACCTTCAGGTAGATATTTAATCATAATCTATTTTCAGAGAATTTGTTTGGGTTAGGGCTTGGGGAGAGCAATTTTTTTTTTTTTTTTTTTTAAATAAGAGCAGAATTAAGGGAGGCTATATACATTTGCACTTGAAAATCTTGGTGGTAAAGTTTATTCAGGTTCAGTGTGTTTGCATACAACACAGGTAAATGTTTACTAAAATCATGGGTGTAGTTTGTAAGCCAGTTGACCTTGGCAAGGTTGATTAGCCAAATTAATGTGAACCTTAAACTACCCCAGTACTCAAATCCAGGTTCTCTGTCCGTTTATTTGTGTGTTCTTAACTGAGTCGTCTTGTATGATGAGTGTGCAGGTGGAGGACCTGTTTGTTCACACAGCTCTCTGCGATTCTTCCATTCCCACTCTGGTCTTGCACCGTTTAGTTTGATTCCACAGTCTTGGAAAATCTTTATGCTGAAAGTTGCCATTCAGGAGCATGCTATTTGAGCGTGTGTAAAAGATGGTAGAAGATGTGGGAGGAGGATGGGAGCTGGCTTGCTTGCAAGTTACTTCTTGGTAGTGTTTCAGTTGAGGTTTCAGGGGAAAGTTGGTTGCTGTTACTGCCACATCATCAAAAAAAAAAAAAGTTGTTCCATAGTTAGTTATTGCTTAGCTTTCTGAACTTCCTTCTGAAGGACTCTCTTACTGATTCAGATGCCTGAAATCTTGGGAAAAGGTTGGTTTAATGCAAAGGTTTCTCTTTTCCAAAGCAACCACCGTTTTACACTGTGAGATTAAGAGTAATCTAGTAAATTCTTCCACCCCTGTGCAAGCTTGGTATTAGCTCAGGATGCATTGTGTTCTTTTAAGTCTTCCTCAAAATACGTGCTGTCAAAAAAAGGGGAGAAGAACAGTTGGGCTACTGCTTATCCATCTGTACTAATAATCCATTTGTCCTTCTTGCTGCCACAGTAAATAGGTGATGCTTTGAATGATGAACATTCATCCTGTCTTGCCTCCTGATGCCCAATAATGATTTGTGACAAACTAGAATCTGACAAGCGCGGGACTTTCTGTGACATTTTGGAGTCCTTACAGAAAAGGACAAACTTGAAGGTGTATTTACCCAGTCCATGGAAGAATGGTGTAGCTGAAAGTGGACGTACCTTGAAGAAGGGGGCAACAAGTAATGCTAGCCAGTGCAGCTGGTCGTCATCTAGGAATAATCCAGTTCTGTATGAGTTTGAGACTTTCATTGGGGATTATCCTTCCTCTGAACTTGGGGTACTGGAACCAAAACATTTCATGGAAACTAACAGAAAGTGAATGCTGAGTAAAAAAGGACTGCACTGAGGAGGGGAAGCCTGCTGGCAGTTTGAAAGACACTTCAAACATACCCCTGACAAATTTGCAGAACGGGTGATCTCTTATGGTGTGCCTGGTCCAGAAGGGAGCGGCGGGGGGGGGGGGGGGGGGGGGTGGGGAAGCTGCTCCAAGCTGATCAACATAACTTTGTGCTGATTTTGTTTCTCAGTTTGTATCTTTCCTTTTGGGAGGCAGATGGGAACAGTATTTTGGAGGATCTCTGCCCAAGCTTTTGGCTTAACAGAATGGTGTAAAAAGTAATTACCATACCTGAGGGATAAGGTCTTTTTAATGGCATTCTGATAGTAATTTGGGGGGTTTGAATAGATATCTATTAGTAATGGTATGGAAGAAGGAGAATGATATTATAACCATGTATTTGGACATAGGAGAACTTGAATTAACTACCAAATTATTTTGCATATAAAGGTACAAATTATTTTTCATCTGTAATGCTAAAATCATGGAGAGACACACTTTGAAATAATTTGCTAGCAATTTTATCCTTAAAAAGGGAAACAGTGTAACAGTGAGGAATGAAAATGCATTGGTGTTTCTTGCTAAATACTTTCTTTGCTTACATATAGATGAAGTGCAAGAGGTCTAGAAGGCTTGGAATGGTGATTGCAGACCCTTGGTGTGGCTGCTTTGGTGTGTCGCTCAGCAGAGCTGTATTTGTAATGGGTGCAGTGTGTTCACTGACAGGTAGAAATACTAAGAGGGTGTTGGCATAGTCTGACATTCTGCACTGACATTCAACTGCTTGGTTTCTCAGGGCATGCAATAAGGTTGATGCTTTGCATTTAAGGTGTGATGGTCGGAAGCCAAGTGGAATGCTTGTGCTCTTCCAGCACTCATTTCAAAAGGCAGGTAGTAGCTTCAGCTCTGATGATAGTGAATTTCTTCTGTTCTTGTTCTTGGAGCAGTATGGAAGCAGGAAGTTGTTCTGGACAATTAGACCAGATTTTGTCCAGGTAAGAACAGTATCTCTTAGCTCAGTTCTTCAGAGAGAAGGGAATACACCTTATAACATTTGGGAATCTAAATACTTGAATCATAAATTGCATCTTAATTTTTATAGGTTGTATTTGCCGTAGGTAAACCTAAAATAATATTTCTTATTGGTCAAATATTTTGCTTGTTTTAAAAGCCATGGACTTGTGCTCAAAATGAATTGGTGACTCTTCACATCAGCAGCTTTCTGTGGCAACGCTTTGATGACTTAGTCTGTGGCTGTGCAGCCCGAACTACCCTTGCATAAAAGCAAGTGGTACCCAGATTACGGAACTGAAATAAGAAGCTCTTGGAGGCGTCTCTCTGGATAGTTTCACATGGCAGTGGGACTTCTCTCATGACTTCATCAGATTTTACCATAACTCTGCTTCGTGAGCTTGTAAATCTACAATTACTGAATGTTTTACTGTCAGCTCTCACTTTGGAATGTTTTGTGGTTTGGTTTGTTTGATTTTTTTTTTGATTTTTTTTTTTTTTTTCCTTCCCCCCAAACAAGTGCTATGGCTTTCTTTGATTATTTTATTAAACAAATAAAAAGTGCAATTTTAATATTCTTGTTTGTGCCTGTTTCCTGAAAGAGTTTTGCTGTTAACAGTACTGTTCACAGACTTAATTTCTTCAGAAGTATTCACTCTGCAACGGCCAGGTCGTGTCACAGAAGCCTCACTTTGCTTTTTTTTGCAGTGTCTTCTGAGGAGTGAATTACCACAGGTACGGTCTCCTGCCTCACCGGTGATTTTTGGCAGTTTGCTTGGAGCAAGGTAAGGACCCTCATGTTTTTTAAAGAGAAATCTCCCTGTTAGTTACTTGGCTCTAAGACCTATGCTGACACCTCTTTTATTGTGGTGGAAGGAAGAATAAAACCCATCCCCTGATGTCAGCAGATGCAGGGTGTGACTTTAAACCACTCACAGAAATAGGCCTTTGGGTAGAAAGGGAAGATGCATTTTGTTTATTTAAACTGGATTGAGTAGTTTATGCAGATTTTTTTTTTTCCCCAAAGATCTTGGTGATATCATAGAGAATGAGACTTTTCAGAGTGGAAAACACATCGTATAGAGCGTGTTGGATGAGATGGATGCCCTGGCATGAGGAGATGGTGTATCGGGATCTGGCAATCTGTAGATTGGCTCTGGAGCATTTAGGGCCTCCCCTTACTCCTGCAGTGGGAGCGCAGGGACCTGCCCCGCCAGCCGGGAGGGCTCGGAGGCACAGGAGGCAGCTCCCTGGGGAGGGTCACTCTCCACTTACTCCACAGCTAGTGACCGGCAAAGCCAAGGGGTTTATGTAGTCCCACACTTGGCTTTAAACCAGTTAATGTTACATCAACTGTTCTATCAGATCGCTTGGGTTGTTTATGGATTCCTTGAGCAAAGCTTATGCCTTTGCCTTGGTGGTGTTGATGGTGAGGGGTGGGGAGGGGGCAGAGGAAGGAGAAATGAGCGTTTGAAGCGGAGAAATACTCGCACTGGCAGCCAGATGAGCAATGGGGTGTGCTTGTGTTGAGCTGTGGTGGTGGGTGTAGGCAAAAACTGGTTGTGGGCAGAGCAGCACAGACGGTGTATGGAGTGCACTGGCGAGGCAGAGAGAACGGGGTTTGTTCAGCCTCAGGAGAAGACCAAGGAGAAATGCCTGGCTGCCTACAGCAGCTCCTGGGAGAGTGTAGAGGAGGTAGAAGCAGGCTCTTCTCAGGGGAGCACAGTAATAGGATAAGAGACAGTGAACAGAGTTGCAATATGGGCAATTGAATAGATACAAAGATACTACTATTTTTTTGCCACCATAAGGGCAGTAAAACTTTGAAACATGTTGCCAAGAGGTGATAGCATCTCAATCCTCGGTGATCTTCAAAATGCCACTAGAGCAGGCTGCTCAGGGCCTTGTCCAGTTGGACCTGGGTTAAACAGGGATCAGACTAGACGGCTACCAGCAATCCCAGCCAACCTGTGGTCTGTGAATGTTCTGGGGCTGAGCGGCTTAGTGCCGTTCAGGGCAAGGGTCCTTACCTTCTGGAAGGTCTCACCTGGGGACAGTGGCAGCAACTGATTGTCCTCTGGGGCCGTCAATGCTACAGCAGGTTCAGAGGAGTTGGTTAGCTGGAGTTCTGCGTGGCTCTTCATCTGTACTGTGCTTGGCCACCCAGAGCCTCGTGCAGCGGGATTTGCTTGCTTGCAGACTAGGTCAGTTCAGAAAGGGGAGAGATTGATAGGAGTCTTTGCAAGTGAATCAGAGAAGGGGGTGAAAAACTGCTTTTTAGGTTGTAATAAAATCAATGAGTAAGTTGTTCTCTTGATCAGTTGAGAATGTTGAGATGCATCTTGAGGTAGTGCTGGACTGCTACCCAGCTCTGATGTTGCTCATTTTCCTACCCAAGGCTCCCTGGGGTGCTTCAGCTGGGGTAAAACCCTGCACTCCAGAGTATCTGTTGAACAGGGTTGCTTCTGGTATTCTGCATTTCAATTTATTTGTGATGGAAGTGGGTTTAGGCCAAACCTGCTGCTTGTCCCTTTGCACGGAGCGCACCCAAGCAAAGGGCTGAGGCCACCCCTGGGGTCCACTGAAAGCCAGATTCAGGCCTCGGTTATCTTGAATGTACTTTGTCAGATCTATGCTTCACACACTCGGGTGTGTCTCCGCACGCAGCACCCTTCATCGGATCACACGCCACCGCACGCCCGGTCAGCTCAGCCACGCCAGCCCACGTCCGGCCAGCCCCGCTGCCCCTTCGGCGCACCCTGCGGCTGCTGCGCGGGTGGATGGGGCTCGGGCAGCCCTGACCACAGGCGGTACGAGACAGGTAAAGGCAATAACCAGTGCTCACCCCTCCAGAGCCAGGTGGTACTTGAGGTAAACCCGACAGGAGGGTTTCACGGTGCTAATATAAGATCACACAGTCGAGGCCGTATTCTGACTAATGTAATCAATACCTGTGTTAGGTCTTCCTTTCATTTGGCTTTGTGCTTCATGCATTTACAGTGGGAGGGTTTTTGTGTGCGCAGTGGCAGTTCTCAGTTGCTCTCCACTGTATAAAAACGTTGCATTTGGTTCCCCCACCCCCAAACCAGCCTTAAAACGGATGGATGCAGCTGCCCTGCGATGTGAGACGGGTGCCATGGCATAGAAATCAAAGGGCTGGAGGGGTAGAGACAAACTGCTAGGTGGACATGAGCATAGATTGCCTCCTCTTCTGTGCGTAGTAAATAACCAATCATGCAGTTTTTACAGCAACTTCCTAATTATCAGGGGAGCAGAAACCCAAGGGGAAAAGCTGAGTTTATCTGTTTCTGTAGCCAAGATGTGAAAAAAATCTGAAGCTCTGTACTGCTCCTTTCCTCCCCTGCTGCTGTTTTTGCTGGGCAATGACAGTGCTGCAGCACTGCGGAGCTCTTGCTAAGCTCTAGCAAGCAGGTAAACCCAGAGGTGGGATTTAATGGTACTTTGTGCAAGTATAAGCAGAAACATTTTTAGTAGGCTAAGCTGACCTACAAAGCTTATTTCTTGTGTCTTCTATTCTGGAGTTGATTTTTTAAAAAAGGGGTTGACATTTTAATACAGTAGAACAATAGATAGTTACACTGATATTTAAATAACACTTGCTTCCATTTTTTTTTTTTAAAAAA